TCAGGAAAAGGCAGCTGGATGCTGTGATTACATCTCCAGAGCTTTCTGCCTCTTTCCTTGTTCCTCTGCTGTGTCTGTCTTGCCTGCTACCTATCCCTCCAGACGGAGCCAGTCCTTCCCAATCCTCCTCCTAAACCAGTGCCTTGACAGAGGAACTCCTCAGCACACACGGAGCAAGTGGTGACTTTGTGGAGTGGGATCCCAGGTGCAGGGGACTGTGCTGGGGCACTGAGGCAGTGTCCCTGCAGCACGGTGACCTGCAGCCATGTCCCTGCAGCACGGTGACCTGCAGCCATGTCCCTGCAGCACGGTGACCTGCAGGCAGCACAGAGCCATGCCCTTGGGGCCCTGCCTGTGGAAGTACACTGCTCTGCACTGCTGCCACGACGGCACTAGGAAAAAAAACAGAGGAATGTGCCGSAATGGTGACACACGGATGCCGCCCATCAATCCATACAGCATGTCCCAGAGTGGGTGAGTGAGAGACAGGCACTGGGGATATCACTGGGCTTCTGTGGACCTTGAAGGCAGCGATAAAAAAAAAACCCCATAAAACTATTTGGGTTGAAAGATACCTATAAAAGATTATCTAGTCAAATCCCCTAGCAAGAACAGGGAGAACTTTCACTTGACCAGGTTGTTCTAAGTCCCATCCAGGCTGGCACTGAACGCTTACAGCAATGGGGAATCCACAACTTCTCTGGACAACCTGTTCCTCTGTCTCACCCCCTTGCTGAAAAAAGAAAAAATGTTCCTCAGGTATAGTATAAATCTACACTCAGTTAAAAAGCCTTGTCCCTTCTCCTGTTACTACAGATTCTGATAAAAAAAAMMAAAAAAAMCTTGTCCCCATCTKTCTTATAAAGCACCCTTTAACTATTGAAAGGCTGCTCCAGCCTCTTCCTGGGGCCTTTTCTCCATGCTGAACAGCCCCAGTTCTCTCAGCTGTCTTCATTAGAGAGGTGATCAGGCATTTTGATCTTCCTCATGGCCTCCTCTGGAATCACCCTAAACATCCGTGTCTTTCTTGTTCTGGGAACCTCAGAGCTGGACATAGCACTCCAGATGAGGTCTCCCCAGAGCAGAGAACCACCTCCCTCAACCATCTGCCCGCGTTTCTTTTTGTGCAGCCCAGGATACAATTATCTTTCCTGGCTGCAAGCACTCTCTGAAACAAATAAAGCCAAAAGAAATTCTCAACATCGTTAATCTGGGTTACTCCAGTTTTGATTCCAAGGAGAGCTGTACCTTAAGGAAGGCTATCAGACCACTTTAGTAAGTCCTGCMAATCAGAGGAGCAAACATGTCAAAGAGAGTGTGAGAGCACTCCTGGGAGCACGGTGCCAGCAGAGGGCAGCTGCCACCCGGGCACCGCTGGCACGGACCCCCACGCACCGCAGCGGGCACACTCTGCTGCCACCCTCCGCTCTCCAGAACCCTCTCCTCTGGCCGGGCCCCAAATCCTGACATTACCTCTCCTCTTGTCTCCTCCTGCTCAAGCTCTGCTCATCCCATGCACCGTTTCCATGCCCCGGGGATGTGCACGGCGTGTTTTTCGCTCTTGTGAGTGACCCGGGGCTGTGGGCTTCACCCCAGCGCCATCCAGGTCTGCTCGCACATGTGGGGCCCGCTCTTGCCCCACCGATGCTCAGGGCTGCCACAGCCACGCTGGAGAGCAGAGCCACAAGCCCAAACTCCCACTCCTCCTGGAAAAGCTGACATGATGCATGCTGAGCGTGGAATAAGTTGAGGGGGGAGCTGCTGTGGGGCTGCACTTCTGTGTGCCCTCTCTGGCCAGGTCTTGTGAGACATGACTTGGAAAAGCTGGAACAGCTGCTGCACCTCCACTGCTCCAGCCCCTTCTTCAGCTCCACAAGACCCACACAGATGGGCCACGTTTTGCTGCAGGGCAGGGCATTTTCATGTGGATACATCCCTGATGGTGACCACGTGCTGCTCTTCAGGTGAGGAGCAGTTGCCCAGGGGAAGTACATGATGCTATCCCTCTGGCTAAAATACTGACCSTAGCACAGACCTGGAAAGCTAGAAATAAATCCTTGCATAGGCTGAGAACCCCCATTTGGTTAATATTTACATACTTTCCTGGATTCTGCCATGCTCCTTGAGAACTTTGTTCTTCCTTCAAGGCTATGGACCTTATAACTTCCTCTTCCTCCCCATATTTTGATTCCTAGGTACAAATGTCTCACCACATTACCRGTAAACATTCATTCTGTTGCACCCAGCTGATGGCTTGTTTCAGCAGGTAYTTCAGACGCTTACTATTTCTTCCAGCCACCAAGTTTGATTAAAATCAGGTTTACAAGTCATTAGGCACAATGGATGGACAGATGTATTCATGCATAGCAAAGCATCATAGTCAAGCAGTAATTTTTTTTTCTTTTTTTTTTTTTTTTTTTTTTTTTTTTTTTTTTTTGTAGGGAGAAWAMTACTAAAAATTAGCTTTGCCAAAAAAGAACATCATCGACATGATGATGTCAGGGAACTTGAAGTGGACTATGGTGTGACTGRAAAAGTGAGATCTCCAAGGATTCCAAGGCTGAACCAGGGTGTAAACTGCAATGGTGAAAAGCTGGAGAGGGCTGATGTGCAGTTGTGAGCAGCCAGACCTTGTGTAAGTACRTGCTCATTTTTATTTTTCCTGTAAGGCCTGTGTTTCTCTTTCCTTGCTCGTGGATTCAATAGTACACCTTACCTCTTTACCAAAAACASGTGTGCCGTTACCTGCTTGGATCTGTAAGCCTATATTTACCCTTTCACACCTCATTGCACTGGTAAATGGTGCAAAGTGTGAATGATCCCTTACAGCATCAGAGCCTTCTTTAATCACAAAGCCTTGCTCGATTTCCAGAGCTGTGTTGAGACCAAGCAAGACAGTGCTCCTACGGAAAAAATGACAATATTTTTGTAGGATTCACGTAAAACATAGCAGGCGTTCATAGAAGGGAGCTACARTGAACCTGTGGAAAAATGTGTTAAGACACTTCCTAACCCTCTGATGTTTTACTGAACACTGTGCTGTCACTTCTTGTGCTATTGCTAGACAAATTTCAAATATGACATATAAAACAGTGCCATGGGAAATCAAACTGACACTGCCTTGAATCACAATTGAGGTCCAATTCACAATGCACCACAGGGAACTTTCCCTACAAGAGCACAGTTCAAAACTGAAAGAAGGGAAAGACAATTTCACTAGCACAAGTCCAGGTATTTTCTGACAGCAGTGAAGTACAGAAACTCTGGACTGAAATGCAAGTCCTGAAGAATGGATTTTCTTCTGGCTCACGTTGTGGGTTGTCTTTTGCCAACTGATCCATAAAAGATGTCTGGAGAGCCTGAAGATTTTGAAAGCTGGGTTTACTCACTGAAGAAGGCAATTTATGAGCTGATTCTTGTTTGAATGTTGACTCTGAACACTAGCACCATCAGTGAKGATATTACAGTGTCATGGACACCAGTATTGTCATCAGGTTGCTCACAATATTAAACAAAGCACAAGGTGATTATTGGACTGACTTGCAGAATGGGTCAGAAAAAACTAAGAAACATATAAGTGAACAGAAAAGAGGAAGCAGATGTCTCTGGTCATGCATTTTGGCAGCAGGATAGCTCATTCTACTGTCTTTGGCAGCCTACCAGGCAGCACCAGAGGCCGCTGAAATCAGCAGATCTGCAAGGGCTGAGGACAGTAGGAGTGGTGTGTGCGTGTGTGTGTGTGTGTGTGTGTGTGTGTGTGTGTGTGTGTGTTTTGCAAAAGTAGTTTTAACCAATTAGAAGAATGTAGATTCACTTTCTCCCTGCAGTTGCTTTGCTTCGTGAGATCAAATGAACAGCAGCATTGAGGGCTACTAGCACGAGTTATTTATTGCACTTGAAAACCACTTGAGCAACACGCGGTGTACCTGAAGCACTCTGAAGCCCAGATACACACAAGTCTGCCAGACCACAGGACTAGAGCAGGATTTTGCTCTCTTCAGCTGTCAGTCTCACWCTCTGAGTAGCCGATGTCCCACTGATTGCTCTCCAGTGAGCTGTGAGTGAAATGCTTGCAGCACCCAGGGGAACAGCAGGATTAGTATTCGCTCCCAGTCTGTCACAGCTCTTGCAGTAGGGCAACACTATAAACCTCCCCCCATTACCTCTGCTGGCCGAGAAAGGAYAGGTTTTTTTCCTGTAGAACAAACGAGGTTTCTTTCCAGGCTCATGGACTCACTCATTATAAGAAACACATGTAACTTTAAGGGATGTTGGATGGTGCCCAGACCTGCTTGCACAGGCACTACTAATGGCTCGATGATGGACACGAGGAAAATCCTTCCTCAGAAATATGGAACAGCTCCGGGACAGGGCGTCAGAGAGGTGTACATCGCCATGCGGAGCAGCTTTCAAGATTCAGTGGGACAAAACCACAGCGGACTTCACCTGCTGCTGGGAATAGTCATGCTCCAAGGAGGATGTTTGGCTGGAGACCTCCAGAAGGCTCTGCCACTGGCACTGCTGTGATACTGTGATATATTTAAAAGATCGCCGTGGTAATTTTTGCTTTGCAGGAAACAAGTTGAAACAAGCTCCCCCAAGATAGCAGAAAATTACAGTTTATGCTAAATTGCTCAGACAACAAGCAGCCCTCCAAGAGCATGAACCCTACACATAGCTCTCGCTGCCCTGCGAGCTGCAGGCGGGCGCTTCTGCGATCTGCTACAGCGACCGTCCCGGCACGGTGTCAGCGGGCACCTTGCTGGAGCGCCAGCCAAAGGCGGCGAGTGAGCTCACAAGAGCCGGCCAAAGCGGCAGGACTGCACGGCTCTCCCGGGGCAGACGGGCAGGAGCCCGCGGAGGAATGCCGGGGACGGGAGGGGGATGCCGGGGGATGCCGGGGGTCCCGGCGGCGCTCCCGGCGGCGGGCGGGGCGCGGGGCTCGGAGCCGCCCCCGACGGGCGGAGCTGCGGCCGCCCCCGCCCCCGTCCCCGTCCCCCGTCGGCGGCGCGGCGCGGGGCGGGCGGCGCTCCCCGCCAGCGCAGCGGCATGAAGGAGCCGTCGCTGCCCGGCACCTCGCTGCAGCGGGCCTGCCGCCTCCTCGTCGCTTTCTGTGCCCTCCACCTCTCGGCCACGCTGCTCTACTACCTGGCGGGCAGCGCCCTGGGGCCGCCGGGCAGTCC